ACAGGTCCTTGGCTGGGAGCTCCCTAAAGAGCGACTCAACATACCTGGTTTGAACCGGAAATGCCTCGAGTTCAACGTCTACTAAGGCCGTGTAGATCGACCGTCCTCCTCCTCTCATGGTGATGACATGGTGCAGTAAATTTGGTGATCTGGCTTAATCTCCGAGACAGGCAGGTCGGTGCAGGGCATCTCGATATGGGTATCGTACAGAGAGACCTGATGAGGGCGACTATGGGGGCCGAGAGAGGTTGATGGACAGGAGACTCCCCGCCCAGAAGTTTAGTGATTGCCGAGAGAATCTACCATAAGGAGAACGCCTACTTGTTACGTTCCCACAATGTTGATCTCAGGGGCCGACGGTAGAGTCCGTTTGAGGGAGGTACTCCCAGCGAAAGAATCGTCCAGGAGGAAGCGAACAGAGGGATGGGGTCAGCGAGGGGCTGTGGATCCGGCCCCTCCACGAGAGAGTTTCGGCGGCTACTATCGGGATACACCCTCCTCCATGAGAGGCCTTGGCAGTGAGCAAATCTTCGGGCGGAGCTACTGAAGGGCATCGGTACCATGCGGTGACACTACATTTCGGCCCTGAGGCGCCCAGTAGCTGTGCTTACACAGTGCCCACAGTCTAGAGCACCCTCTTCCAGTGGTGGTGGTGGCCGCCATCTTATGGACTAAGCGGGAGAAAGTCGCCCTTGTTCGACTCATGGCTTTTGTGTCGGAGTCAGCTTTTGTTCCTTCCTTAGGCATCTCCACCGGTTGGCCACCCCCTCTGGCCATGGGTCTCTTCTACATGAATCATAGCTTCAGATTTTTTTTGTTAATTAATCTCTTCCAGTTTCCGCCTAAATTACAGCATCAAGTTTTGAGGGATGAGAATAACGAGGGAAATGAATGGTGACTTTTGTTACTCTGGGCTGTATAGTTTTGGGCACATGTCTACTTCGACTGGTTTTGGCACTGCCACTACTCTGGTGTCCCCTCCTCTGAATGTCATATCCCGGGTTCGATTCCCGGTGCAGGCAACTCGGTCCTATGGAGTTGGCAACATCCCTGCCCATTTGCTAGCTGTATCCAGCTGGGACGGAGTGAGTCGTGGCACATGTCCTATCTCCCAAGCGTTCGTCTTCTCTGTTCTAGTCCTGCCGTTTGTACGACACTCATCGCAATTCCTTGTTGGCAACACGAAAGGAGCACCACCCGCTTCTCGACGTCACATTCAGCGATCCGTCCCAGACCGTGTGTGCTACCCTGGGTGGAGCATTGGTCTTGATAGACTTCAACCAAGGAGGTCAAGAGGTCAATCGTGTTGACAAGTGATAGGGGACCTAGCTTATGTTCATCGAGTATTCTGGCAATATTTAGTTCCACTCGCTACCGGCTTCCTG